TATATATATATATATATATATATATGTATATATATATATATATATATGTATATATATAATATCATTAAAAGAAAATAGTAACATCAAAATTTAAAATACTTTTATCTACTTTACCTCAACAACCCAAATAAAGCTCACCAAAAAGTCTAGTTTATTTGTCTAAAATCATGATTTTAGTTGTATGATGTTTGAATTTTTGTTTAGTTTTATATTGTAATCTAATACATTGTTTGTAATTGGTTCGATTATGTTTGAGACATTTAAACTTACATCTTTAAAATAAATTGTAATTTACTTTTAATTGTGAAAATTAGCATATTGTAATTTTTTTCAGGTTTCGGTTTTGGGTTCGGTTATAACCAACGGTGAAAAAGAGGATTTTTACCCTTAACGGGTTCCCCAACGGGGATTGGGGAAACTGCGGGGACCCGATGGGAATCTCCGACGGGGATCGGAGCGATTACGGGGACGGTTTTAGCTAACGGTTTCGGGGACGGGGATACCAATACCCTGTCCGAACCCAACCCATTGTCATTCCTACAAACATCCTTTAAAGTAATTACAAATAATTGTTTTTAAAAATAATAATAAAATAAATTTAATTGATTACTATGGCTACAATTAATTTCAATAAAAATTGGAATTTTTATAAAACTTTGAATTTATTACGGTCGTTGCACTGTCAAAGGTTCTTATATTTAAAAAAAAAAAAAAAAAAACATATTGAAATTCGAATTAAAACACAATTTGTTAATTGGAGATCAGCTCGATAAATACATTTAATTTAGAGAAAAAATAGATTGTTTATTTGGAACAACTTATGTTTTTCTATAAAAGTACTTATCAATTTATTATAAATCAGAAGAGTTTAACTTTTTCAAAAATTTCTTATTACAACCGGTATGAATTGTTTATCCACACACTCAAAAGTGCTTATTACCGATGTCACACTAGAATAAGTCAATAAGTTATTTTTATAAACAATTCCAAACACCCCAGTAGTATGTAAACAGTTCATATCATATTAAAAATTAATTAAATATAAAAACCGTTTTCTTTTATTTGTGGTCAGAGAAATTAACAAGTTAATAAATTCAGAATATTGACATTGCAGCCTACTCACCAAATTTAAATTATTTTTATTTTTATAAATTTAAAACCCAAAAATAATATTATTTCTTTTATTTTAAAATAAGTGTTTGCAATGAAAATAATATATATACATAATTTATTAATTATTACATTTTTTTAGTAGATTAAATAACAATTTTATTTTAATTAGTTTGTGGAAAAAATCTGTAAAAATAAATTTTCCATTTTGAATGATCGAGCCTATGAATTTTCATTTAAATAAATAAACAATTGAACTGTTAAAATTTGTTACTTACATTCTGTTAATAAAAAACTATATGTAACTGCTTAGAGAATATTATAATATGTTTAAGTTGAATGTAATTATTTTAAAAAAGTTAATTGTTATTTTAAAAAAGTTATAGAAATATATTAAAAGATATTTTTATATTATATTTAAAATCATTTTTTTTATGAAATACGTGATTTTGATTGTCCCACAACCACAAATGGGATATTTGAACAAATCATTAATGAATGCTAGGGATCTATTTTCAATGCAATGGGTCGGAAGGTAAGGGCATTAAATAAAACATTGATTGATATAAACATATTTTCAAAAATAAATGGTAAAATAATATTTTTAATTCTAATAGGACAAAAGTTAATAAACACAAAAAAAAACAAACGACTTTTATCCATAAAAATCCCAAAGAAATTATTGTCGATAATTATTAACGGATCATCTAAAAAATACCAATTGTTCGATAGAAACTAATGTTTTTCAAGAAAATACCAACTGATCACTCATAAAAGACATGAGTAAATAGAATTTAAAAAACGTGTGAAAGAAGGCAAGAAGACTTACATTGATACCACAAGAACAATTTGGACAACCCAATTGAAAACGGAACTGTTGGCTTTTATGATTAGATCGTACACAGAATTTCAAAAACAAGCCCCTACTATGTACACGAAAACAAACCTTTTCCTGCACAAACTCGTACAAACTAGCAAATAAACGGTTTTAGTATTTACACAAATAATCTGAGGGTTTAGCGTACAACTTAAAAATCCTTATGGGTATTGGCCTCTTAAATCAACCATCTAACAGATTAATATATACATATAATTTCTCTTTAACATGATATATTTGGGTCAGGACGATGTAAGTCAGCTTGAGGGTTGTCGCTTACAATTACAACCCTTTTGCACAAAACCTCTATCGAACACATATTTGAAATAATTGTGTATTGTATATAAAAGAAGATAAATTCAATCTTTAGAAAATCTGAGCCTATGTGTAACGAATGGGCTAATCGTTCCTATCTGATCCTAACCGTTTATCACTCAACGACATGGAGCTATGCATAATCACGAGCTTAGCCGATCTTGTTACAAGGCAAGTCCGTTTCTAAGACATGCGTCTATGCATATAATGATCAATTCGTGAAGTTAACACCACCAGCCTGGAAAACTCGGTGATGCAAGTATTGTCTTTGGGTGAATTTGAGTGTTGTTTTTGTGTTTTGTCAAATTCTAGTGTTGTCATTTGATTCTTGAAGAGCAGTAGTTGAATCACTCAGCACGAAAAAACCTCAGGACCGACTCTGCTTATTACAAATCTCTGAGTGCGTTTTGTACACGGATGAGACTTGATAAGACTAGACGGATGAAATTAAGGTAGGCGCGTGAAAAAACTATGAATGGTTTTAGGGTTTTAGTTTGATACGAGTAATTTAGTAATTTAACAATTTTGTTTGTTTCCCGATTTTCATTCCACCTATCTTGGTGGGATAAAAAAGATCAATTATGTCCCACTTAGCTCATGTACAGTCCCATTCTAATGTTGTACCAAACACGAGACAAGTTTTTCGTACCGGTCTGTCCCGTTCTATCCCGTGTACTAAACGCACCCTCAACGTCCAATATCATCATGCCCAAGCCATCTTTGGCCGATAATAAATATTCATCACCAATGAACCAAACAAACTCAGTATATCTCGCTCACGGGTATAGTCTGAAGGGTGAAATACAAGCAGGCTGCCAGCTGGTGTAATTCCTGAAAACAGGAATTTGATTTCCACCAGGACAGCATACTAGAAAAAGACCAAGGCTACTTCACATATTAGATTACATAATGCACATCTTAAAAGTTTTGACAACCAAACATTACCGGCATCAATTAGCACCTGAAGGTACCACATTGTATGCCAAAACAGGCCGAGTCTTTAGACACATTCGGCAACATTTATGAAATAATAATCCAGTAACTTTTATTATTTTCAACTCATATGCCCGACAAAAGACGAACAATACATAACACAACCAACCGAGATAAGCAGAAGCTTACACAAGCTAAGCCGATGGCCCAGCGACTTGCAGAGGGCCAGATTTCCACTCAACGGCTTCACCACAATGTCCGCCTGTAACTCCCACTGGATGCGAGCCACCCATATTGACCCCTGCCGGGTCAAACCCGCCAACAAAAGTTCCCGCCACAGCTGGGGGTCTGGCTGCAATGGCTTTCAGGCGGTACCGCTCAGCTCTAGATCCAATAACCTGCCCGAGAATAGAAGCCGCAATTGTAAATGCCATGGCTGTTTTTGGCATCAGAACTGACTTTCTGAGCATGGCTATAAAAGGAACAGCGGCATGAACAGCTGCAAACCAAGAAGGTGAGAATTTCTCGGTGTGTTCTCGCCATATTCCTAATGGGACATTAGCGGCCATGCCCATTACCCCGATCACTAGTATCTTTGCAGGGAGCGGTTGAGGTCTGAGGTTCTTTGCAAAGGCGGTTCGTGCTAGAGCTGCCCGGGCAGCCACGATTGCCGGTGGGCACTTGTACTTTATGCCCGATGGTGGTTTCAATGCCTTGGCCACAATTGGTAGAACATTACTGACCGCCCGATATGACTTGGCAATTGGACAATTCCCACTTTTAAGCCACTCCTCGCCCATTGCCTCATGCTTCGAGTCACCACTCTGTAAAATCATTTGTAAAAATGCACATAAAATCCCCATCCAGGTAGAAAACATACAGGATGAAACATCATTAATCAAGCATTGGTACATTTAACAGTATCACTCATCCAAATCTAATGTTGTTGACCCTTCTTTCTGAACTTCTGTCATGATATTAGAGAAGAAACTTGTACTCCCTTCGTGCCAAAATAAGCATCCACATTTCTATTTTAGTTCATCTCAAAATAACTGTCCATTTTCAAAAGTAAGCGCCTACTTTCTGATTCCACCCTTAATTATGAGATGGTGAAATTCATTACTCCCTCTATTAAGGGTACAAGTACAATTGTCATTTAGTTGATTAAAAAGTGTAATAATTACACATCTTTAAAACTATGTGCCTTTTTCATTGTGCACATTTATTTTGGAACAGAGGGAGTAAAAGAATTGGTAGCTACCATACCTCAGAAGAGTCTTTCTTGGAAGATTTATTCTTTTTTTGTTGATTCTTGAACATCTCGTTGAATGCATCAAAACCGAAGGACCCTCCAAAACCCGAGAGACTGATAGTGGCTGCCTTTGCTGCCAAAGGATTAAACTGCTGGGACACTGGTTCGGCCTTCACCTTTTGGGGAAATTGCAATGATCCCTCAGAAAGCGGGACAACACCATTCTGGCCATGGAAAAGCCTAAACGCCATATCAAAATTGGGACCGTCCTCAAATATAGGACCTTTGGTTCCCCGGGCCTGATAAAATAACAATGACAACATTACTTCATTAGCATCAAGTATTTGGGGGTGGGATGTTATTTGTGAGCAGTCTTTCCCTTGCATTTTGCAAAGGTGCTGTTTTAGTGGCTTGAACCCATGACAATCCAATCATAACCTGGTCTTTTCCTTCCATTTTGACAGTTTGTGTGCACCTAGACTAATCCCATGGGGGCCTGAATTAACAGTCAGGCAAATTCTCCCATAGCCCTAAGGGGACTTGAACTAGGGAGCAAACCCAAGTTCTTACCAGTTGAGCTACCCGTCAGGGTTATGAGGCCCAATCTTATTGGTTGCTTCAAGAAAAGATGCTATCATGCTAAATAAAGGTTCTTTTAGTTGCAGTGACGTGCTAAACTGATACGGGTATAAGAACACTTACGGGCAATGGGAAAGCCATGGATGATGAAAAGGAGAAGTTAGTCGGTTCATTAATGTTGCGCAAAAATGGGCACCGAACAATATCATGCTGCGAAGGTGAAGATTCGTCAGCCATGTTCCTACAGAAAAAATTCATATCTTGACTGGAGGATCTGCATAAACAAGAATACATAAATAATCATCACCCAAAGTATACACAAATTTCCACATAAGAATAACAAATTCAAATGTTGATTAGAAAACAAAAAGCAACAAGGCTTGGATTGTGGAAACCTGAACTACAAAGATGGTAACCATGGTTCATACATAAACATCCTAACAATCAATTAATACACATTAACACCATGAGCTGTAACTAATGCATAACTTAATCATTTCGGGTCTTATCAATATGTAGTTCATTAGCGGAACATGCAACCATACTACTTTAGTCATATAAGTTTAAATATACTTGTGAATGTCATCGATAAGTTTTAAACAAAGATCCATAGAAAGGAGTCAAACAACTCAAAGTAAGTAAGAAATCTAGAGCATACTTTATTGTGTTGTATAAACAAATCAATTTGTTGATTCAAGGTGATTAGCCAATACAAATTACACAGGATTCTGATTCACTAATAGGATTCACATAGGTTGCTTCATGAATTAAGCCTTCATTACAATAACCTAGAAGATTTTGAATTAAAATATTGCAATCAGTTGCTGGTGTGATTTTTCATGGCTCTCTTCAAAAAAGAATATATGAATCATTCATATGATATGACAACTATTGACAATAGGCCTATAGGTGATTGTGTGACTAATGTTAAAAAACAAGGACGTGACTGCCAAAAACCTAGTCAATGAAAATATGAAGTTAATACTATGTCTTTCAGGATAACATCCTTCAGTTATAAGCATGAATAAATAAACCATAATTTAGGAGAGGTGAACTCATAACTACATGAAAGGACATATACGCAGCATAAAAAAACAAAGCTGGAATTCAAGATCGATACTTTTGAGGCCTAAGTTCAACTCATCAATTGAAAAAGTTAAAAACCAAATTGTAACACAAATTTTAAAGTTTGAGGGTCGTCTACCAAAACCATGTCTATGTGAAAAGATAAAACCTTTTAACTTCTTAAATTCAAAACTGAAGATGGTCATAAATAACTCATCAAAAGCTACGGAAATGATAAATGAAAGGATCAATCAACAATTCTACATGCATACAACCCGACACACACACACATGTTCAAATTTCAATTCGTGCTATACAAACTCCAATCCGATTCATGTTAGCTGATAACAGAAAACATGGATATGACACCCTGTCAAACAAATTCAATTTAATGGGTTCATGGTTGAGCAAAAAGCCAACTCTTTTTAGTATAATAAAGATTAATCTTGCAAAAATTTAGCATAACAAAGCCATCAAATTGAAATAATACTCCATTTAATCAAAATCCCAACCTTAATTCAATCTAGAGCTCAAAGTTAACACCCTCAAGTTTTCAATAACATAAATAAAGCAGTACAGAAGCAGAAACCCCATATCTCTTATAATATCAAAAAGGAAAAAATTAAACTTAACTTTCTTGAAAGAGGGAGAACCAATTCCTATATCAAGGATCAAAGTAATGAATTTTAGCATACAAAACCATCTAATCAACCTAGCTCTCATTTTCATTAAAACCCCCATGCAGATCAATCCAACACTGCCATGTTATGAATTCATATACACAAAAACAAAGAGAAATAAGGTAAATATGTCAAATAATAGACTCTTCAACAAAACCTAGAATTTCATAACATCAAAGATCTAAATCATGAACTTTGGCATCAAAAAACCATCTAACCAACCTAATTCTCAATTTTATCAAAACCCTAACAACAATTCTATCTAAAATCAAGTCAACGCCATCACATTACGGATTCATAAAGAAATGCACAAAAACGAGAAAAAAGAAGTGTAATTCCCTCGTATATCTTACAATAATGACTATTGGAAAAGTGAAAAAAATCAAAAGTTTTACTAAATCAAGGGGGTCATAAACTTTAGCATCAAAACCCTATGTCCCTATCCGTCTCAATTTCATCAAAGATCACCGATCCACATAAAAATGAAGGAAAAAACGAACAGAAATTGTCTAATTCCTTCATTTATATCATACACCAACAAAAATTTAAGAAACGAAATCAAAAGCTCATGGAAGAGTAAACACTCTGAATTATCACTATATCAAGGATCAAAGCAATGAAACACCATCTGATTAACCTAATTCTCAAAATTTCCTTAAAATTCCATAAAAAACAATTCGATTCGATTTCAACCTAAAAGTCAACAGAATCAAGTAATCAATCACAAAAACAAATAGAATCATACCTTAGACGATGCCGATGCGGAAGAATTGAGAGTGAAAAAACCAAACCCAGATGAGTTTGAGATGAATTCGATAAGAGAATAGCTGAATAGATGAAAGAATCAAGGAAGGGAATAGAGGAGTAGGTGGGGCAAATCCGCGATGTGAAAAGAAGAGGGGTAATATGCCTTCCACACTCCAAAAGACAGAACAAAGAGACTTATGGAACGACGCCGTGCCACGCACACGCCATCTTTGACAATTTTGACTTTTTCCGAAGAAGTGGTCAGGATTTGGTTGGCTGCCACAACTAATTATAGCATAAAAATATTATTTATTTAGATATTTATACTATAATATAAAGCATTTGATAAAAATTCTTAAGAACTATTTTTTATGCGTAAAGTACTGTTTATTAATGCATATTACTTAAAATTCAAGATTACAAGTATATTATACGTAAATACAACTTATTAAAACTCTATATCTTAATTTGTATAACTAACTGCAGATAAACATAATCAAATATAGGATAAACATTTTATTTTAAATATAAAAAATCTAAAAATATAATTAAGATAATCATTGAGTTCTAATAGAATACTTAATTTTGCATTATAACATTGATAGACCCAAAATATAAAATGAAACATTAAAATCAAAATGTATCTCGCTGCATTACGCTAGTACTCTTCTAATAATAATAAAGATGTAAATATTTATATAAGAAAACTGTCATTTAAGAAACGGTAAATATTTGGGAAGTAAAGAAGTGATCTTAGTCGTTCATTTGGTCAATATTTATGTTTTTGACCATGAAGCAATGCATAACTTTTCGTATGAATATTCGGAAGATGGAAGGATAGTCCACAAATAGGTGACAAACAGATTCATAAGTCAACTCATGTAATTCACATATAAACTATATGTTCATATATGAACTCGTTAATTAGTTTATATGTGAATTTTTTAACTGATTCATACATGAACCAACATGTTCATATGTGAATCAGTTAATTAGTCCATATATGAATCATACGTGTTCATATGTTAACAAATAGTTCATATGTGAATCACGCAAGTTTATACATGAACTTGTTTGCCGTCTATTTGTAAAAGTTATAAAACTACCCCCTCTATTTTTTTACATAGTCGCTATTTTAACCAGTCAAAACTGCAATTCTTGATCAGTCAAATCCGATCTTGACCGTATGAAGAACTATGATCATTTTTCTACATCTCAAATATTTACCTCTTCTCAAAATAACATTTGACTATTATAAGTAATAAAAATTTATTATAATCTGGATTTTTATGGAAGATTTTCAAAATTTACTCGTTATGATTAACGCTTTAAATTAAAAAACAATTTAAAATATTTATGAAATTATATATTCATCAAATTATTGATGGATTGATCTTCATTTATATATTCATTAAATTATTGATGGTATTAATAATTTAAATATTTAAAATTATCCCGAAAGTATTTTATTGTTTTGTAACATGGCTGTTACTTTCGTGAATACGTTAAAGACTATTTTAATATGTAACGTAAAATTAAAAATATTTATGTTTTATATTTGTTTTAATTTTTTAATCAAATAAGCAACGTAAAATAAAAGCATTTATGATAATTTTCCATTTTCTATTTCTGATATATTTTCTTTCATTAATATATAGTTGTTATTTTTTTTTTGAAATATATATAATCGTTATTAAATATATATTTATATACTAGAAAGGTACTTGCATAATACATCGAGATACATCTTGATATTAATATTTCATTTTATTCTTTATCTCAGTCGATGTTATAATATGGTCATTGAGATTTTGAGAAAACGATGATGTTTTATTTTTGAATAAAATATAAGTTTGAAAATATCATAAAAATTTGACAAAAATATATCGATATTAGTATCAAATTAACTATTTAAAAGTTCTCATTTTTTGTGTAATTTTTTAATTCAATCTTTTTTATAATTTAATTTAGGTACAATAACGAAATAATTTATATTTGGTTTAATAATATAATTTTCTTATAAAAATAATAATTATTTATTTTGTTAGAACTCGATAATTATTCTAATTATATTTTATATTTTTATATTTTAAAATTAGATGTTTATCTTCTATTTGATTATATTGTCCGCACTTAGTTATACAAATTCAAACATCGAGCTTTAATAAGTTATACTTGTGCATAATTTACTTGTAATCTTGAATTTTAAGTAATATGCATCAATATATAGTACTTTATGCATAACAAAAATATATCAATATTCGTATCAAATTAACTATTTAAAATTCCTYAWTWTTTGTGTAATTTTTTAATTCAATTTTTTTTATTATAATTTAATTTAGGTACAATAACGAAGTAATTTATATTTGGTTTAATAATATAATTTTCTTATAAAGATAATAATTAATTATTTTGTTAGAACTCGATAATTATTCTATGTATATTTTAGATTTTTTATATTTTAAAATAAGATGTTTACCCTCTATTTGATTATTTTTATCCGCAATTAGTTATACGAATTTAAATATTGAGCTTTAATAAGTTGTACTTTTGCATAATTTACTTGTAATCTGAAATTTTAAGTAATATGCATCAATGTACAATACTTCATGCAATAAAAATAATTTTTAAAAGTTTTTGTCAAATGCTTTATAATATAGTATAGATTTAATAATATAATTTTTATAAGAATGATAACAAAACATTTTGTTAAAACTCAATTATTATCCTAATCATATTTTAATTTTTTATATTTTAAAAAAAGATGTTTATCCTTATTTGATTATGTTTATCCGCAGTTAGTTACACTAATTCAAATATGAAGCTTTAATAAGTTGTACTGACAGATAATTTACTTGTAATTTTGAATTTTAAGTAATATGCATCAATATACAGTACTTCATGCATAGAAAATGCTTTTTAAGAATTTTTGTCAAATGCTTTATAATATAGTATAGATAATTGTTACTAAAACCAACATTTAGAAACAAATCAAATTGTAATAAAACTTTAATAAATCAAAATTTTCCTTAAAATTATCTTGAACGCATAAGAGTATTCACAATGGTAGAAACAGAGCTGGTCCCATCGTTTTGAATGTCTTGGACGGCGATTTGCCCTTGATCCAAGAAACAAAAAACACATTAAAAGTTTTACGGGGTTTGGAACCTTTGTCAAGCTAGTTTGTTCATCTCCATGCCGATTTTTATTAACAAAAAAAAGTTACAACAAGGAATATAAACCAAAACCCAGATCAACAATACAAAGATAAAATCACCTAGAACGACTTATAAGAATTCAAGCATGAAGCTTTAATAAGTTGTATTTATGCATTATTTACTTGTAATGTTGAATTTTAAGTAATATGCATCAATAAACAGTACTTTATGTATAAAGAATGATTTTTAAGAGTTTTTGTCAAATGTTTTAATTAAATTTGAAGATATCTTAAAATTAAAAAAATAATAATATTGATATTAGTATCAGATTAACTATTTAAAAGTTATTGTTTTGTTGTGTAATTTATTTAATTGAATTATGTTAGTTATCAATGATTATCATAACTATATTTTAGATTTTTTATATTTAAAATAAAATGTATATCCAGTATTTGATTATGTTTATCTGCAATTAGTTACACAAATTTAAGCATGTGGCTTTAATGAGTTGTACTTATGCATCATCTACTTGTAATGTTGAATTTTAAGCAATATGCATTAATAAACAGTATCTTATGTATAAAAAATTGGTTTTTAAGAATTTTTATCAAATGTTTTATAATATAGTATAGATATAAATATATATATATATATATATATATATATATACACGATTAAAAAACCTATGGTGGTGTTAAAGTGTTACTGTTTTGTTGTTTTTTTCCAACAAACTCTCCCTCTTCTTTAAATATAAAACAAGATAATTCTATTCAAGTATTTAAAATATTAAAAAATATATATAGAAATAAAAACGTTATGAAAATATAATTTTCTTTCTTATAATAATATTCACTAATCACTAAAAACCATTATATATTTCGATGCAATTTCAAAAAAAAATTAAAAGAAACGTGTTGTATAACATTCAGAAATAAAATATATACAATATATATATATATATATATAGCGGGTTACGTTACAAACCGTCCAATTCATGAAAAATATGTAAATCATTTTCGACCAATAGAAAATTTTCGTTTTTTTCTTTAATTTTAATAAGTAAGGATATAATGGTCATTTGATTGTATACAGGTTAACATTGAAAGATAATAATTACTTTTAATTATGAAAACGTAATAATAAAAACATTTAGAAGGTGGTAAATCAATTTTTCTTAATATAAATTTTTTACCATTAATAGTTTTTATTATTTTGTTAAATTATACTTATTAAAATATGAATTGTAAAAGCATTAAAATATGAAATCTGATTTCGTTTCATTGAAAAAGTATATGTAGTTTGAGTAATAAAACGAATGTCCTGGTCAATAGTGTAACCATGAACACAATTTCACTGATTAATTTAATTTATTAATATTTCGAATGTTTTATGCATGAAAAAGTTTCACTTAAGAGAATAAAGTATTCAGTTTTCAAAATGTTTCATTCAATTTCAAAAATGTTTCATTCTTTATATGTTTCATCGTTTATTAGGATATCCCTTGTTTAAACATTAATTTGATTAGAAATTATTAAGAGTTCAATCACACTTCAATAACTGTTAATGAAATAGTTTCATATATCGTAACCGTTAATGAAATAGTTTCATAACCGTGAGTTCATAACATAAACGGTGAAACAGTTCCATTCATTCATTTAATGAAACAAAATATTTCATTTAGTATTCAAAAGATTTCATTATTTTGTGTTGATTAAAGTATGTTTTTATGTTTCATAATTTAAGATATACCTAGCTTCATTGCTCCTTACTTGGATCTATTTTTAATGTGGATGTTATTTTGTTTATAATATTTTGTCATGAAATGAAGATAATTTTTATCAACATATAATTTGTCAGATTATTCTAACATTTTTGGTTAAAATGTTTGTAATGATAAAATAATATATAAAGATTTTAAAACAATGATTTTGTTTCATTAATGTTATGATATTCACGATCTTGTTACATTGTTTACAAAAGGGAAATTTATAAAAATAACCATTTAATACAACCATTTGCCACAAAATAACCGGGTTTTTCAAGATTTTGCGTTTTGACCACCCAGATTGCCCCCGAGGGCGATCCGTACATGTGGAGGGAGATCCGTACATGTGGAGGGAGATCCACATTGAGGATCTTTAAAAAAAATTCAGCCTTAAAAGACGAGATTACTGTTCACCATCGAAGACTGTGCGTTGACCTCGCCCTAGGGGGCGATCTAGACTGTCCCATCGCCCTAGGGGGCGATCCAGTTATAAATCTTTTTTTTTGTGGTATTTTTAATAAAACTGATACGCCATTTAAGTTGTATTTTTTAACTTTTTTAGAACCAAATTTCATGGTAAAGGTTTAAAAAGAAACCATTATAATTATGGAGACGCAAAAATTATTTTTATCTGATTTACGAAATTTGACCTCTATTTCGTCATTTTGTGTTTTATATTTAACAATTAAGGGGTGTTTTTAATAAAAATGGAAATATACATAAAGTGTGTTTTTTTACGTATTTAATTTTAAATTTCATTGTTTTTCGTTATAAAATAAGACAATGATAATTGTGGTTACGGAAAAAAAATTTAGCTGATTTTTGGAGAAAAATCAGACATTATATCTGATTTCGCAGTTTTTCATGTTATGACACTCTATGACGTCGATTTGACGATAAATTTTGTTTTATTACTTAACGTTTTATATAAATTGGCGGTGGGGGACCATAAATCACCATCCATCCCCACCACCGCTCGTTTTCTCTGGAAAACCGAGCTTTGACCATCCCCACCGACCATCCCGACCAAGAACGACCACCATTCTTCGATATACCGTCATAGACCACCGTATAACGACATCGGCGACTTTCCGCCGCCACCGACCACCGTGATCTGCCGCTGTCGGCCACCATCCGCTGCCACCGACCACCGTGATCTGTCGTCGTCGGCCACCATCCGCCGCCACCGACCACCGTCATTCGCCGCCATCCACCACCTTCCGGCGCCAACAACCACCCTCAAGCCCCGCCATCCACAACCCTCCGCCGCCACCAACCACCGTCAACCGCCGCCATCCACCACCGTCCGCCGCTACTATGGAAACACCGGTAAATACTTTATCTATCTCTATATGTATATGTATCTATCTATATCTATATATATATATATATGTATATATATCTATTTCTCTCTCTCTCTCTATATATATATATATATGTATATAGACTTGGGATCATGTGAGATCAGCCTGTTTTCGTGAGACCCGTGAGACCAACATTTTACACTTGAAACTTCACAGCAAAATGCTGTGAAGGTGACTTTTTAAAACCTTCACAGTGTTTTTGCTGTGAAGGTTCGACTTTTTTTAAACCTTCACAGTGTTTTTGCTGTGAAGGTTCGACTTTTTTTAAACCTTCACAGTGTTTTTGCTATGAAGGTTACGTGTAAAAATGTGGTCTCACGGGTCTCACGAAAACAGGCTGGTCTCACGTGAACCTAACCCTATGTATATATATATATATCTATGTACCGTTTATATCGCATTTTTTTTACGTTTTGCATCTTTATATATATATTTTTTACTGCAATTTATATCGCTTTTTTTTACGTAATGCATCTCTCTCTCTCTCTCTCTCTATATATATATATATATGTTACCGTAATTTATATCGCTTTTTTACGTTATGCATCTATATAAATTACGGTAACATA